TGTCAAAAAAACAAACAAAAAAAAACACCTCTGGCTCAGCCTGATGAAACAGGTTTTGACAACGAAAATGAAAAATGTCTTGAATGTAGCACACCACTTAATAATATATTTAATAAGTCTATATATTTTTGGTTTAATAAAGAAATTATTAATACAACAGATATGCGAAGTTAAAAATCAATATTCTCCATATTAATATTTAAATGAGAAGTCATGCAAAACTTTAACAATGAAGGTCATGAACTTTTGCATTTGTTTGCAAAAGCAATATTACATTTGCTTGTTATTTGTTAAGGATATTTGCAAGTGCTTGTTATTCTAAAAAATTAAATCTTCACTTGAACTAATGCATAAAGAAGACATGAAACAGAATGAAAAAGACTCAACAACACCAGACCAAGGAGGAATGGAATGATATTCTAGCCATATCTCTGTATAAATTAGTTCATAGTTTTTGGTTAAATTATCTTACTGTATAACAAAGTACACATAAAAACAATCTAATAAATAATCTAAAATTACTGTAGAAGATGATTATCATATATTGCTTATTTATTTTTGTTTTAAGTGCACATACATGGACACACATTTAATTGTCTTACAGTAACTTTAAATTGTCCTAATTCTTAATTTCTTATCTTATATTTTTGGGTATATATACATATACAGTACATTCAACTCAGCTCTGATAGCATCAAGGTGTAGTTTTACCTGTGAAAGAGCTTTCAGTGCTCCACACCTCTCTCACTACAGCAGAGCCACTCGGATCTAAGGGAAGGGCAGGAGAAGATTCAAGCATCACAGATTGTTGCTGTTCATGGATTGTGTGCACAAGTAGTGTCCGCCATAATAACTACTGAACTACTGGGATTTTATTTAGTTAAATATAATTATTTAAAGCAAATGGGAATGTGAGAATTTTTAGGGAATATGCAGAGTAGTAATGAATAGCAGAATATGATGAACTACTTTCAGGGTCATGTCGTCAAGAATTAGGACTACCCATCCTTAAAGGGGTCCTATTATGCTTTTTCACTTTTTCAACTTTAGTTAGTCTGTATAGGCTAATACCATGCATATATTTTTTATTTAAAGAAGAAACCAATCCAATGTATAATTGACATTTGAGGCTTAATACAATAGAAAAGCAATACAAGTTTCTCAGTTAGTGTTTTCAGCTTGTTTATTTTCATATCAAAATATGGCATACAGTTGCTTCAAACAATGGTATAAACATAATCTAGTGTAAATTGTAATAATCGCAATTACAATTTCAAGGGAATAATCGACAATTATAATTTTTGTCATAATCGTGCAGCCCTAATACAACGCATATTTTCCGGGATTTGTGATATCACAAATACAGACGAATGGGATGAGACCTGGTTGAGCTGCACTAGAGAAGGCAACGAGTGTTATCACTATATCGGAGACGAATTTAGAGTGGTTACAATCACCCGGGTTTCAGTGGTGGACAGTAACGGAGTAGCTTTACTTCGTTACTGTACTTAAGTACATTTTTCAAGTATCTGTACTTTACTGGAGTCGTTTTATTTTGAGTAACTTTTACTTTTACTTCACTACATTCCAAAGCATAAGATCGTACTTTTTACTTCACTACATTTCATAAAACTTATCGTTACTCCGTCGTGCTCCGAGACGCAGAAGAGGTGTCTGATTCAAGAACGAACTGATTCTTTTCAATGAACCTTTTAAATCGGTTCGCAAATCGCACAAAACGATTCATTGACGAATTAGAATGAACCGACTGCAGCTGTTTTCGAGTCGACAACTCACTGATTCAAATGAACCGTTTAGTGCGAGTCTCCAGTGAACTGAATTCACAAGTAAGAACCGCGGTCGAGACTGATGCTGCTAAAAGTAAGTTACTAATGTCACAGTTGTTTGTGAACTAAATCTGCTGTAAAGGGTGATCTATTTAAGCCCACTGAAATGCTTGAATGCAGACACATCAATAAATGTGTCTCTATTTTAGGTAAAAAAACCCCCGACACATTAAAATAACACAGATTAAATAAAATAACTCATGCACGTTCATATTCCCCGTTAACAGTTAAAGTTAACAGTTTTATTAAAATGCTACATATTTAGCCCTATGTGACGTCTGTTTTTATATTGTTTATCAACAGTATACATTTTTATATTGTTTGGATTATCTAGCCGAGTAGACAGATATGAATGTTTATTCATAACCACACTGAAAATAAGTAAATATTGTTAGCTGATGCTAACTGTCTAGCTAACAAGCTTGCTGGTGCTAAGTTGAGGTAATTTTTAGATATAAAGTCCAAATGTTTTTATCCAACCACCTAGATAGATTACATCTGGGGGAAAGAAAGGATGTGATGTTCAGAACATGGTAACTACAGTAATTATCAAAGTGGGAAGTGATACCCTCTGGGGGCATTTGGCCAGGGGTGTTTTTACATCACAGACAAGGTTTGAGAAGAAAAAAAATCATTACGAAAATATATTTTCCTTAAAAAGTTCTTCCTAACTTCAGGTTTTATTCTCATGTCATATATAACTGTGATGTTCTGCAAAACAACAAGCTTTAAAACACTTTTTTCTTACTGGTGAAAATCAGATGATCAAATCTGTTTTCTCATCAGGTACTTCGCAGTGTACATTACTACATCACTGTCGTCAACGTAGTCCATATCAACAACAAAAGGGGGAGAGGTGTTGTAATAATGTAAATATGTGAAAAATAATGTGTTTTTCGAAGTTTCTAGTACACCCCCAAAACAAAATCAAGACTTTGTAAAAGAGCATAATAGGACCCCTTTAAAACAACATACAGAACTACAATACCCATAGTGCATCAACAGTCATTAAGTTAAAGGTGGGGTAAGCGATTTTTCAAAAACACTTAAAAAACTGATTCGGGGCGAGTAGCAAAACAAACTTGTAGCCAATCAGCAGTAAGGGGCGTGTCCACTCATGATGTGGAGGAGAGAGCGTTCAGTGCACAGGACGGACATTAGCCGAGCCGAGCGACAGAAAGATAGAGATGGCGGATAAAAAACCAGAGGAAAACATCTGCGGAACAAAGAAGGCTTAAGGCAATAAGGCAAGAAGTAGGACCCATGTAAATATCGGATCAGTTTTCCAGCGCTGAAGAGAACTCAAGGAGCAGAAGGCCTGCGATCGGACGCCGAGGTTGCTTTGTTTCTTCTCGATAGGTGAGTAACACCAAAGCGAACATTGAAAATTGTGTCAATACGTCATAAATAGAACGCAGCAGCAGTTTTCGGTCGGGGGTTTGTCGTGTCGTGCCGCATCCAGTGTAGACCATGGATATGTATATATATCTATGGTGTAGACAGCATCACTGATTATAATGAGTTCCATAGTGTTTTGTCTGGTGTAGACACGGCGTAACATTGGTTTTGCTTTGTTTCACAGAACTAATCGTTGCCTGGTTTGCGTACGTATGTGTGGGGCGGAGCTATCAAAATAGGGGCGAGACCCTTTTGGGGTAGGGGCGTGCTTGTTTTGGTGATTTCAAATGTCAACATAACATTTGAAACAAGAAACACTCCCAGAAACACGTTCCTCCACGTACTGCCATTTTAAAATGTGTTCTGTTCAGTCGGCATTTTCGGTTTAAATTGACCCAGATTCATCATGAATTATCAGTATTTGCATTGAACACTAACAGGGTAGAGACACTCATCTTCATCATATGCTTCTTTTGCACCAAATTCCTAATGTTGACGAGCTAAAGGGTTGATAGTAATAAAACCTCGTTATGATATAATGAAAATGTAAATATGAGCAGCTGACCATGATCAAACCTGTCAATCAGTCCGCCTTAATGTCATGCAGTGTGCAACTTTTGCTCAGTCCTGTTTCGCAAGATCCTAAACCAATATTTGTTTTTAATCGGACATAAATCATGTTAACTTTGTACCTGAGGAACTAGAGCAAACCCGTGATATCACAGACAGGTTAGGGTACCATGCCCGGTATCGAGTCATCATCTTGCACCGACTCGCATCTTGCAGTGACCACGTGCAACTGATGCACGTGCGAATGTGCTTCATCTTGCGTTGAAAACAAGAGCGTGCATATGTAACACAGGCAAGAGCAAAAACACACAGTCTTGCACGGATCCGCAAGCAAGCAAGGTAGTTGAATCTTTTAACCATTCTATAAATTAGACATTTTTAAATATATAATATAATTCATTTATTTAATAAACTAACCATCTTTTTTAAGCATTTACATTTAAAAAGTGGTCCATTTTAGAACTAGGTTTTTAAATTGTCTATGATTTGTTTGTGTTGTGGCCAGTTGCCATGGTTTCTAATGGTTTTTAGTGTTTTTAGCACATAGCTAGGGTGTTGTAGGTGGTTGCTGACTTAATCATTTAAAAAGAGCCTGCTTTCAAGTGTCAATGCTACTCTGGTCACTAGATATGGATCGGTGTAAAAAAAAAGTTTTCTGCTAGGTGAAAATCTTATGTCCAAATGTTTGGAAAATTAATAACTTATCTCTCCTCAACAAGCTGCACAGTTTGAGGTATTTTGCATGTCTGTAGCAAAATATGAACAATAGTGATGCTTATTAAAGGGAAAGAAAAAAAAGGGGAGAGGTTGTTCTATGGAAGTCAATAGCAATAACCAACTGTTTAGTTACCATTCTTCAAAATATCCTCTTTTGTGTTCAACAGAAGAAATGTACTCATACAGGTTTGGAACAACTTGAGGGTGAATACATTTTCATTTTGAAAAACTGAAAAACTATTTTCATTTTTGGGTGATCTGTCCCTTTAAATTTGTGAATTTACTCTGTAAACATTTGAACATTAGCTGGAAATCTAACAAAAAATACACAAGTGAAGCAATACTTTCAGCATATTAAACATTTAATAGACAAACTTTTATTTGTAAAAAAAATAATAACAAATTCAACAAGAACATTTGCGAAAACCATAGCAACTCAAGTGCTTTATTAATACTGTTAACTGTAAAGATGTATAATGCCCAAAAGACAGTACGGTTGTCGATTGATAGATCCAACATGAAATCATCTGTATAAGTGAGTATATATGAGGTCACTCTCATCTTTGCTCCTCTGCTTGCTTGATGGCTTCCCCCAGCAGAGTGATGAGTGAGGTCAGTCCGATGAGGTACCCATCTTCCCTGTTTCCCTCCACCCACGGAACATCATGCCTCAGCTGGACATCCTCTGGGGTTGGGATGGTCTTTCCAAAATCTATCATCCATATGTTTGCTTTGCCGCTGCAGTCGTGGACGAAAAGTAAAGAGCTGCCTATGATCTGTGAGAAGTTGAGAAGATGTTTATTCAGAGGCAGTGTGTAAACAACATTCCTGTAAAATGTGTTCTGAGATGAAAACTGAGCTGTACAGCTTTAAATTTTATGTTTGAGGTAAATGTGCGTAATTTATATTGTAGAACAAGTCTCTCACCAGAAATTCCACAGCCCAAAATGGCAATTCTGATTTTAAGGCTTCAAACTGAACATATTGTAGTATTGAAGAAAACTGAAACCATCAGCTAATGGTGACAAGTTTAAAGCTTTGCACTAACCTCATGTCTGTTGAAAAAGTTTGACTCCTTGAGTGCTTTGTTCAGTGCCTGTAATCTGGATTCGTAGGCCTCCTGAGATACACAAAGTGACAATGGAGGGTATTGTAATTGGGATGAACTGCAATTATTTTTATTTTTATATATTCCAATTATATTGTCAAGCAGGCATATTTTGTGTATAATAGTCATAAGCATACTGCTTGAATCTCCATTCACAACCCGATTTACTTCAACAATGTGACATATTTCAGAGTAAAACAAAATATACAAACATGGGATATGTGGGTTTAATTTGATCTATTAGGAACTAATTGAATCACCAGGTGTTTTATTTATTTGGAAAATAAGAGGGCCAGAAAGGAAGGTTGTTTCAGAGATGAAGTTGTTTTTGAATGTTGACATAAATATTTATATCTGTGTGAGATTTTGAGAATAAAATAATTGGCAAACTGTAAGCATGAAATGCTGTGCACTCACTAGAATGTGAACCTGCCTCCTGGTGAAGGTTAACAGTGTTTCTGTCACTTGAGCTTCTGTGCGTGACTTGTAAAAGTCTCGTAATACTTTACCATTTCTCATCTGGAAAAAAAACATGGTGGGAAAAAAAATCTATATAAATGGCCAGTAAATTCTTCAAGGCCCATTCACACCAAAGACAATAACTATAGTGATATAGTTTTAAAAATGGGAAAAGAATAGCAGCGTCTACAACACACAAATAATGATAATGGTATAATAGAACAATATCGTTGGAATCATTTCCTCAATGCCTTTTTTCCAGCTTGATGAATAATAAAAAGCATCAACAGCCAATAAGAATCCATCCCGCTTTAAAGAGGTTGAGAATTTAAAACAGCAGTCAGCAGAACTGCAGCATGTGCTTGTATAGTTATTTTTATACACTCTTAAAAATAAAGGTGCTTCAAAAGGTTCTTCAAGCGATGCCATAGAAGAACCATTTTTGGTTCCACAAAGAACCATTCAGTCAAAGGTTCTTTAAAGAACCATCTCTTTCTTACCTTTTTATAATCTGAAGAACCTTCTTTCGCCACAAAGAACCTTTTGTGAAACAGAAAGGTTCTTCAGATGTTAAAGGTTCTTTATGGAACCATTTAGACAAAAAGGTTCTTCTATGGCATCATGAAGCACCTTTATTTTTAAGAGTGTAGCTGTCATTCTTGGTGTGACCGGGCCTTTAGCCTCATGTTTCGTACCACTATGCCTTCAATGCGGAAGCCCAGTGACGAGGTGGAACTGCTGTCATCCCTCCACTGCAGGTAACGCAGCTTGGTTACACCTCTTTGTGCATGTTCTTCTGCAGTGGGAGCTGCCGGATCTATTTTGACCATCTTTTGATACATATCAGAGCGCACAATGGCGTTGCTCCGGGCCTTACTTATCTCCTCCTCTTGGTATGTCCTGCAAGTAATGCCATAGGTTCAGATGGTACTGCATTATTGTTCAAATATAAGGTCAATGTAATGTAGAGTAGCAAATTAAAATGCACTACTAGAACTAGAAATGCACTGAAACGAATTTTTACAGAAACACTGAAACTGAAAATCAAATTTTCATATAGCCAAATTTTCAGTTCCAGAAAATCACTAATTGGAACATTTGTGCAACACTGATATTAAGTCTTGCACTATTTTATAAAACATACCCACAAATTCCATCATTTTAAAGTATTTTCTCTCACTTTGACTTAAGGGAATAATGAGTTAAAACTGAAAATATTAAGTCAAAAATGAATCAGTGTTAGAGGTAAACTATTGGGTTCCTTCCTACCGCACACCCATTTTGCAGTCCATGATGACAGGATTTTTGAGCCCGCTAAGCAGATCCTCTAGACGGATGTATCGCTCTCCGTCCTGACTGATGTGCCCGAAATAATGAGGCACAAACTGACAGAGCGCATCAGACATGAGGACCTGCAGACAGATGGCCTCAACCTCGCAAAACCTCTTCAGCACCTCGCCACCCTCACTCAGCCTCACGTTACCTAGACAGAGCATTCAAAACTCATTTTCTGTCTTCAAAATACTGCTCATGGACGGAAGATACAAAAGAAATGTTCAAATCTATTTTACATCTATAACATGATGTATTTTGATAGAAAGTTAAGGTATGGTTAAAAGCCTCAGCTATGTACCTTGGTGACCCGCTAGCTGGATCCATGAGCTTTGTGTACGTTTGGACCACTGCATCATGGTCAGAAAGGTTCTCCAAGATCGACACTGGGAAATAAATGGGAGTCATTTAGTGGCAGTTATCTAACAGTACCTTAAAAACAATTTTTTGGATTTCATTTTCCACCATTGTTAATAAAATAGTCTTGATGGTTATACCCTATCCATTGTGAAACTGTTCAGACGCACAGACGTTGGGGTATATTGCATATTTTCATCAAGTATGATATTTGAAGATAAGTTGAATTTGTTTTGGGAATATTGCAAATGTGACAGTAACGTGCTACTCTATCCCTGTCGTGGTCTACAGTACTATGCAAATAGCTTATTCAAATACGCAATGTTATGGGTACACTTTCAGAATAATGCAAATTGTCTGATACATTTCAGTGCACCGAAAAAATAGAGAACGCTTCTGTTAAGTCCACAGGTCAGACTGAACCTGATACCAGTTTACTGGTCCTGAGAGATTCTGCAGAATCTAGATAAAATGCTTAGTGCTTTCTAAGCCTTCCCAGAGTTCCACTCACCTTCTTCATGGTCTGCCTCCGGGTGTCAGTGTCCTCATTTTCACTGAAAACCTCATCACTTTCTGCTGAGGAGTTGTTGAAGGAAGAGGAGGATGAAGCTGAGGAGTGAAAGAGAACCCGAGAGAGAACAGGGTGTGGAACTAATTCTTCCTCACCATCTTTCTCCACACTTCCCTCCATATAATGTTCTCCATCCTGTGATGACACAAGCGTTTGTGTGTTTCTCTGTCTTGAGCCCCAACTCTTCTTCCTGTGCAGTCGTTTGTTGCTGAAATCTCCCTTGTTACTCTCATCGATACTCTCCACACTTGCTCCCAGCCTTTCCCGCATCCCTTCCTTCAGTCTTTCCCTCGGTTCGATCTTGCTGCTCCACAGGCTTTTCCTAGTTGCTGCATTCAATGCCACATTTGAACCCTCTTCAACAAGATTTTCACCTGCCATCACCCTCTCTTTCACTTTCTGCTCTTCCACGTCTTCGTCCTTGGTTGTTTCTCCAGCAGGTATTGGTAGGGGATCCATGCAAACACGTTCCAGAGGTTCAGGTTTCATAACCTCTGGTTCCTCACATGCATTTGTCTGCATTTCTGTTGGATCTTCTAGCTTGGATGAAAGGACGGCGTGAGCAGAAGCCAGTTTAGGTCTGGCTCTGAAGCCTGTTTTCTTGATATGATTACTTTGATTGATCGAGGATGGTGAGAAATCAAAAATCCTTTCTTCTATGGCATCTCTGATGCTCTCGCCATCACTTCCATTGCTCTTCTTCTCTGACAATATGCTCATTCTTTCTGGAGGAGAATCCAAGTCTTTCATGAAGCCGCTTGGAGGAAAATTCTCATCAGAAATGGATGAAACTCCTGTTTTGTTATTTTGAGCTCTAGAAGAAGAGAATCTGAGAGGATAAACAAAATCGTTATTTGATAAATCATACCTAAAGCAAACAGAATAATAGACAGATGACATCTTAACAACATAATACAATCTTCAATATCTTATTAATAAAGTATTATTATTAAAAAAGGCACATCATGGGGGGATTTCCTGGACATATATAAAGCCTCGGTCTAAAAAATACTGCAGACTCTGGTACTTGCCTATAGAAATAGATACAATTAAAAATAGATAAGCTTTATCTTGTCCAGGAAATAGCCCACATATGCGAAGTGGAACAAAGTTCAAAACAATTATTTGTAGGGGGAAAAGCACCAACTCCCACGTACCCGACTTGCCAATCTTTCATCACTCCTGTGTGTTAAGCTGAACCCACCAGCAGTTCAGCGTCAAAGACTCAACGCCAGTTTAAAGTCTAGCTGTCAACGTTTTCCGACAGTGCTTTGCATAATGTGACATCATGGTTTTCCACAACATATTTGACAATGAGTTCTTTCGGAGGTTGGCTTACGGCTAGCCCACACTCTCGTGTCGAGAACTCAGCAGACTGACTCTGGCAAACACGTCATGGATGGTAGATGTTGGTAGATGTTGGTAGATGTTTTGATGGATTAATTTTATCAGCATGCAAATTTCCCAGGAATTGAACTTAATGACTGTGGTGTTGCTATCACCATGTTATACCATTTACAGTAAACTAGATTCAAAAAATGATATCAAAATATTATATATATATTAAACTTTTACTTGGATGGTGGATATACATCTTGCCCCAAATTGTCATTTAATTTTGAGTCTTATTAAATCTCTCTACTATTATACAGTATTTCATTTATACAATCATTATAAAAACAGTACAGCCAATATCATGATGTATAAATATTTAAAATGTATATTTTATTCTATTTATTTTTCAAATTAAGTTTTTTTTCCATGTTAAAGTCATAATTATAAATGTCCATAAATAACTTTCAGTAAAGTCATATCCTTTAGCTCCTTTTCTTACAACATAACTTAGTTGTCTCTGCATTTTGAAAAGTGGAATACATGTAAATGAATGCAAATTAATAGTTATTTTCCAGACATAAACCACAAACAAATTACACTCTCCTCCTTTGGCTATTTATTGGCACAGTCTCACCATTTTCAGTGTTGTGGAATATAATAATAACAACAACAAAGGATATGTCTAGAAAGGTCAGTTTTGGATATATAGGTTATGTCAATACAGTAAATGGTTACCATACTGTATATTTGTGGTTGTCTTGATTATTTTTACAATAATGATACAAGAGATTAGGGTTAGCATGAAGTTCATATTTTTAAAACAAGGACATTTTGACCAAATCTATGAAGTCCAGCGGGTGGCCTTTGCTTTTCATAACCTTTACCCTCATTTAGCAGACGGCTCCATTCCCTCTCTAGCAGCTTGAACAGACACCAACACGGTAGTAAGTTTTATCTATGGTGCCTGTTAACGCTTGAGATGACTTTAACATGCCCTGTGATAAATGCCTGTGCTTCAAAATCATTTCTCCATCCCCAGCCTCACAGGTAGGTTCATCTTCAGCAAGTTCTCTGGAGTCATCGTCACTCTCCTCCACTCCCATGTCTGGAATGGATTCTTCCACCTCCACTGAATTGCACTCCATGGCATCAACATTTTCTGTAATAATAGGGGGATTCAACAAATGTGTTGTAGTGGCTGCATAAAGAAATATGATCAATGCACATCAAAAAAACAAAACAAACAAAAAACATCAAGCTAGGAAAACCTAGTTTAGCAAGTGGTAAATGGGCTAGTTAAACCAAAAATTAAAATTCTGTCATTTACTCACTGACGTGTGTGGAACACAAAACAAGATATTTTGAAAAATGTTCCCATTTGTTCATCTTCTTTTGTGCTCTAAAGAAGAAACAAAGTCATACAGGTTTGGAACAACATTTATCTCCTAAACTAGCTTTTCATATATATAGTATATATATATATATATACAGTGGGTACGGAAAGTATTCAGACCCCCTTACATTTTTCCCTCTTTGTTATATTGCAGCCATTTGCTAAAATCATTTAAGTAATTTTTTTTTCCTCATTAATGTACACACAGCACCCCATATTGACAGAAAAACACAGAATTGTTGACATTTTTGCAGATTTATTAAAAAAGAAAAACTGAAATATCACATGGTCCTAAGTATTCAGACCCTTTGCTGTGACACTCATATATTTAACTCAGGGGCTGTCCATTTCTTCTGATCATCCTTGAGATACGTTTCAAATTTTAGCCTTTTTATTATTACATTGGTTGCAAATGGTCTAAAAATTATGGTGCATAAATCCAGACTTCACTTGTTGTCTTGCCTTCATCCTGGGGTTCAGACTGATCATTCAGGCCATCCTGTTCATTCTTTTCCTCTTGTAGCTTAACAGCCTGAAGCAAGGAAAACACTGAAACATGTTGTTAACACAGACACACCCCCAGAAGAAACACAAAGCCACTATTTCAAAACTAGAATGCCCAAAACTTTCTGAATGCAAGTATGTGAACACAAGCACACGAGCTAGATTTCAAACAATGCAATCCAAAAATTTGTTAAAGTGTAATTCATAAGACAAAGTAAATGAGTATTACATTTGATCAGTTTACAATGGTGAGCGGCATTAGAATCAGTTTTATTTTTCAGGTCAGCTTCTGTAACGGCAGAGCAACAGTTTGAAGAGAGCAAGTTAGCAAGTTGACACAGGCTATCTGCCTAAATTATAAAACAACTTATTGGTACAGACATTTGCATGGACACTTGTTTCCACCAAAGGATAAAAAAAATAAAAAAGGTAATTGCAACTTTTTTCTCAGAATTGCAAGTTTATATCTCAATATTCTGAGTATATATGGGAAAAAATTCTGAATTGTGAGATATAAACTCAATTATGAGGAAAAAAGGCTGAATTGTGAGATAAAAAGTCACAATTATCTTTATTTTTTATTCTGTGGCAAAAACAAGCTTACATTTGTACTCCCTTGAGTACTGAGGTTTGAAATGCCTCATTAATGATTAATGGATTACGTATTTACAATGATTCACATCTGTTTTATATCTAGTGAAGTCGTGGCCTAATGGTTAGAGAGTCAGACTCGTAAGCCAAAGGTTGTGCGTTCGAGTCTCAGGTCTGGCAGGAATTGTAGGTGGGGGGAGTGAATGTACAGTGCTCTCTCCCACCTTCAATACCATGACTGAGGTGCCCTTGAGCAAGGCACCGAACCCCCAACTGCTCCCTGGGCGCCGCAGCATAAATGGCTGCCCACTGCTCTGGGTGTGTGTTCACGGTGTGTGCACTTTGGATGGGTTAAATGCACTAATTCCTAGTATGGGAAACCATACTTGGCCACATGTCACGTCACTCACTCATTTATGTTTACATACTTTTGTAGAGTATGTCCTTGGCAAGTGTCTTGTGTATTGAATATTTAAATGCACCTTTCCAGGAGTCCTGTGACTGATTAGATTAAATTGCAGGAAGCTGAGAACAATGATCAAACTGAGGAAAGCAAAGTTACTCATCACCCCGATCAGTGCTGATATCAGGGGGAAGTGATACAGCAGGTACCTGTGCAGATCAGAGAGATTCGTAAAGACATCATCATCAGTTTGATGAATGCTTGAGTGGGCTGATTATCTCAAACACGGAGCATATGGAAAAATGTGAGGACTATATTCAAGCAACACAGCAAAAAAACAGGAATACACAAACACAAACCTGATGCCTGTAAAGTGAGCGAAGATGTAGAGATGAGCACTGTAGATCTGAATATGCTGGGAATGGATCTCAATGACGGCTCCAACAGTGGGTTTGTACTGGACAAAGAAAAGAAAGAGACAATTATACTAACTGCTAAATGTATTCTGAGTGGTTTTTAGAGTTTCTATGCGGTTGCTAATGCTAAGGTGTTCTGAGTGGTTTTAGTGTGTTGCTATGTGGTTGCTAGGGTGTTCAGAATTATCCCTCACAGAATCATCTTTGAATTCAGAGTACAGCTCCACTATGACTGACTGTTTCTGCTCCGATGCTCCTGTTAACAGCATGGGGGAGAAGACCACTGTGCCCAGAGCCTGAAGAAGAGAGGAGCGATAATGGAGCATTGCCTGAGAGAGAGAGTGAGAGAGAGAAAGCGAGAGAGAGGTGATCTGACAAGATACCACAGCTGCATTGTGAAAACAAAATGTTCTAAACAGGTTCAGAAAGATCACAAAGCTCACTTTGGTGAACCTACATTTTGCAACTTAACAGGATAGTCAGCCTGAAAATGAAAATTCTGTTATGTGGTTCAGAACCTGTATGACTGGCTATTGTATTGAAAAGCACCATAGAAGTGGTTCATATGACTTGTGTGTTATATTCCAAGTCTCCTGAAGCCATTTGACATGAATAATGTGAGTACAGTTGAGTAAATGTGTACAGAAATGTCATTTTTGGGTGAACTATTCCTTTTAAGTTAAGTATTAAATGAATTCGACTGGTTGAATAATTTACATTTCAGATACTGAGAGTAATCTATCAAAAAGCAAACATTTGATGTACACTTTTAACATAAAATGCTTTTTATGCGTACATGTCTCTTCATTTGTGTACTTACAGAATGGGCTGTTACGTCAACAATCTGACCAGCTTTAGAATAGGGAGTCATCTTCACTGGGAACATTCCCAGCTCCTGATTGGCTGGAGACTCAGGCATTTCCAGCTCTAGTGTGATCTGATAGGGCTGATCGTATGTCATTACCTGTGGTAGGCAGGAAAGAGAAACGCAAAAAACAGCATTGCAATAATATCCTACTTAAATTATTTTTTAAGCATGTCCACTGTGCATAGTATGCAAATATTCTTTATCCACAAATATTCTGTATGACTGCACAATATGTACAGTATGCAACCTGACTTCAATGTAGAACTCTAAAGTGAGGTCAACCTTGATTTTTAACATAATTTTAAATGAATTATTTGATCAGACCACCAAAAAGTCATTTTTGCACAACATTGGATAGATGCTAAATAAATATGCGTTTATTACTAACATAACTGGACACCAATTGCAGAGATAAACATGCCATGTAGTGAGGTCATTTGACAACAATGCAACATGCTAGTATTCAAAACACTTATTGCATACTGTACACAGTTTTACATACTATACTAAACTCAGCAAGAAAATATAACCATAAAAATCATAAGTCTGAAAGAACTTTAAAATAAAGAAACTAAGCAAGGATGAGATCAAGGATGGTCACCTGATGTTTTCCATTTTTCAGTAAAGAGACATTAGCCACAGGGAAATAACACACAGAGTGTTGAGG